TCCAGCCACGTGATGGTGTCTTTCCGCATCGGCGGCTGAGCATGTGTGCTTTTGGTGAGTGCTTTTCTCAGGTTTGGTTCAAGGTTTTGAGACTTTATCGGTTCCAAAAACTAGGCTTTGAGAGGAGGGTGTAGGGAAGGTGATTTATGTTACGGTTCTCCGTGCCCCGGTCAAACCGTTAGAGCCAAGGGATCGGAGGTGGGCATGTAACTCTAGGTGGAACCCTGGCCCAACCAGCAGACCACCATACATCTTGGGTGAAAACCCTATAAATATGTTTAGAGCTACATAAGCAGTAGTGTTTCTTTCGTCTGGGTCTACCCTAACCCCCCAGGTGCCTACTATATAGGGTACTAGAGCCCCCTAGGGCCCCATGTAGTAGGTACCTGGAGGGTTAGGGCTAGCTTTTCTCATCTCAACCCTAAACCCTAAACCCTAAACCCAAAAGTACCTCGTTCGGGCTAGCTAGAGGGGACTCGAATCATGACATCGGCCTCGCTCCTCGCTCTCCGGATTTCGGCCACCTTCGGTGCGACCTCATCCAGGCGAGCATAACAAGGAGAGAAACGAGGTATTTTAGGGTTTAGGGTTTAGGGTTTAGGGTTAAGAAAATAGACACCCTGTCATGTTTGGTCTGGATTGGCATCCCTGTCTGCGCAAGTTTTCCATATCTCATAGAGCCCTTAATACGAATTCGTATCATAGCTGCCCAAGAAGACGTCAATGAGCGTTTCCGGGCTTTGTGCAGGGTCCCTAAAGTTAGGGCCTTGGACAGTTTCGCATGTGTTGTTGAGTCTGTTTGTGCTGCCGGCGACTGCGCTTATACTTGCTGCCAAGACACGTCGAGTCTATTGTACCATCGGTGGAAGTGTCGAGCTTCGTAGTTGTTGGACCATTGTTGCTTGTTGATCTGCCCCAGTGATTACGTCGAGGTATGCCGAGCTCAGTTCTGGCTACAGCGGCTAAAATCAAACATGCACTGCATGTCATCCAGTTGGAAGAATAAAAGACCAGTTCGGATTACTGGTGCCAGCTGGGATTCGGCGACCAGCCTCGCTTCCGCGCTACCCAGGAGTACAATCTCACCGTTCAGAAGAATACTAAAACAGAAAATCTATTAAATGAGTTGATCGGTTATTGAACTGTAAGCAGCTGGGGCGTTAGGCTGCAAAGTCCAACACAAGAGAGTGAGACTAAATCGAGGGAATGTAGCGAAGAACCGCTTGCATGTTTTTTTTTTTGCGTGAAACCCGAAAAACAGCGATAAAGCTAATGATATAACAACCCACCCTAAACCCTAAACCCTAAACCCAGACAGCACTCAGAAATGTGGCCTGTCCGGCCCCCTAAACCTGGGTTTTATGCCTCCATATAACAGAAGCCAAGGCCCGCCCTCTATGCTGTGGACTCGTGACGAACCGCGAGTTTAGGGTTTAGGGTTTGGGGTTTGTACGGTTTGGGGTTTGGGGCTTATATGGTTTAGGGTTTGGGGTTTGTAACGTTTAGGGTTTAGTATTTGGGGTTTGGGGTTTATGGGGCTTAGGGGGTTTAGGGCTTGGGCTTACAGGGATTAGGGTTTAGGGCTCCAGACTACAAGCAAAAGCAATCTCAGCCTTTAGGCAGGAGTGGCCACGGCCCTCAACGCTAAACTCTGTAAACCGTTAGATCGAAAGAGCCTGTGAAGGCACACCGGCATGGCGCTGAATAAGCACAGGACACCTACGCAGTGTCACGAAGAAGGCTGACACAATGGACTTTCGCCTCCAGGGACCTTTGCTAAGCTTCGCTAAGATTGTCTGAGGGACCTAGAAATCTATCTAAAGAACTTATATAGGTACATACATGTACACATACACATATGCATACATAGTTAAATGGAGTCTGCATCTACAGGAAAACTCTGCATGTTTCTGGCGTATGCATATATGGATGTAGATATGAAGCCCGTCTTGGCCAGGGTACATATCACAAAATTTGTTTACCCTAATTTTTTCTAAACCCTCTCAGCCTAGAACTCCTTAACTAAACCCTCTGGGCAGGCTGCCTCGATCCGGCGAATTCGCTCTTGCTCGATCTCTCGATTTCTCTTGCCTGCCGAAGGTTTCCAGCCCCGGGCTTCACATACGGCGGTTTAGGGTTTAGGGTTTAGGGCCCCTTGATGGCTCGACGAGGGTCTGGGGGGCTGATTCGAGCACGAAGTATCTCGGAACTTTAAGAGGGATACTACAAACCCTAAACCCTAAACCTTGTACCACGAATCATTTTTCAGACCCCTACCTGCCTTTTCGGATTGAAGCACGTGCTTCGGCTTGAGGGGCTTGGGCCTTGGGGTATGTTTTGTAGGGGGGTTTTAATAATTAGGATGGGGTTTTGGGGGCTCCTTATTGTAATTCATTATAGTATCATATACCCCCAAACCCTACTCTAATTATTAAGGCCCCGACAGTAGCTTCAGCTTCGCGCGGCAAGCTTTAGCTTGTTTCTGCTTGCTTCAAAGATGTACCCATACGCTCCATGTGGCTCCATTCTAGTTTCTTTTTGGGAATACCTTAACCCCAAAGAACCTACCTTTTTGAGGACTTCTATAAAGATATCATCATAAGGATCCCTAAAAAGGTAGGTTCTTTAGGGTCCAGGTAGCTTATAGGATACTAAATATAGACCACAAAAAGGAGCCTGCGCATGCTTTTGTTGAGGAGGTGCCCACGGAGGAGAAGCTTGCGGCTCGAAAACAACAAACAGCATTACATTATAAGGTTCTTGTTAACCAGGACCCCCCAAGGGCCCTTTAATAGAGCCCTTATGGCCCTTAATAGTGGGTATTTAGGGTATATTAGAGTGTAGTTGGGGGTTCTTGTCAAAGGATCTAAATCTAAGTTACCATAATAAGGCCCTGGAGTAAGCAATATGGTAACCTTATGATGGTAACTCACATTAGATCCCCTAACACGAACCCAGATTAAAATGCGAGTTACGCAGAACGTTAATCCGTTTCCAAAGCAGGGCCACGGAAGATCATACTTGACCTGCATCTTATCTTGGGTTTAGGGTTTAGGGTTTAGGGTTTTTGGGGTTTTGGGGTTTTGGGGTTTTGGGGTTTTGGGGTTTAGGGTTTAGGGTATCTTGAAGCTGCACACACCAGAAATACACCGATTCCTTCGTACGGTTTAGGGTTTAGGGTTTTAGGGTTTAGGGCTTGGGGCTTCGGGTTTGGGGTTCGGGCTTCAGGACTTGATCTCACAAAGCGTTACATCCATTGATTTGCCCTGGCCGCCATCCAACTCGACATGTTACTCTGAACCCACCTGAAACCAACAACTAATCCAAACGCAAAGCCCGAATCTTAGAGGGCAAGTCCAGAGAATGGACAAGACCAACGCGCAGCGCTAAGAGGTTTCGGGCGATAGGGTTTGCAAATGGGCTTTTCTTAAGCTCGATCAGCTTAGGGTATAGGGTTGAGGCAGGAGGGGGAAGAACACAGACCCTAGTGCAGCGTTTGGGAGACCTGTGAAACGGTCGTCCGTCGACACTATTCTCCAAAGAAGCTACAAGCATCGCCATCGGAGATGCAACAGGCCACTCTCCCTCGTGCAGTGACGACAAGGAGCATACAACTTCTTCCAGCAGTACACATCACAATCAACCCATGCACTTGCAGACACATGCACCATCACGCCCAGTCCACACCAATAGACTGCAATCAGCCCCCAATGTCTCAGTACGTCCGAATTTTTCGCAGTCACTGGCGCTGGATATTATGGCTCCGGTCTATGCGCTTAAGGCTGCAGTTCTAGATCTCGCATCTCCGTTCCTTCGCCCACCGAAGCCCTTGACATTCTAAACCCTGACCCTGAACCCCAACCCCTAAACCCCAAAAGCCGACCCCAAACACTCGTCCCAGTCTCCCTCACCCTTCCACCCAGAAAAGCTTTTTAGGTCCCAAGTAGGGAACCCTTATTTAAAAAGGACCCCAAAAAAGGGACCCTAATTTAGAGAGCCACCCAGCAGGCCTTGCTCCACAGCATGCATAAGAGGCACGCAGATCACTGGGATCCTTAGAAGACGAGCGGCTTCGGTTTCCGGCACTCACTCTCGGACTTGCCTAGTTTTGGAAGATCCAAAAGCGACCGATGACGATGGGCAGCACCCAGAACAAACACACAGCGGCTTTGGTTTAGGATTTAGGGTTTAATAGCCTGAATAACTAGAATAGGTTTAGGCTCCATTGTAGTTCCTTTTTGTTGTTTATATCTAGGATCCTATAAGGAACTGCAGTGGAGCCAATTACAGCGAGGTTGTATTTGGGGGATTTCAATAGTGATTGCTGGTTGGACAGGAGCACGTGCTATCCAAGGGGCAAGCGGCAGAGTAGCCTGAAATGGCTGTAACCCATAAGCCCCATAGTGGTTCCTTTTGGGGGTTCATATTTAGAATCCTATAAGGTAATCCCAAAAAGGCCCTAAACCCTAAACCCTATATAAGGTAATCCTAAAAAGGAACTACTATGGGGCCTATGGGTATGGATCGGTTGGTGCACTCCAAGATCAGGCCTTCACCTCCGATGCACAGAACTTACGGTTTAGGGAATAGGTGAATAGGGTTTAGGGTTTAGGAAGCAGCTGCCACGCCTTATGAAGTTATGGGCACGAACACCAAGAGCACCAGGGCCTCTTGTGCCCGATGCTGCGAACTTGAAAACCCCCAAACGCCTCCAACGCAGTTTGCTGGGGGTAGGCTTGTGTTGTTGGGGTGACTATTACACTCCTACCGACCATGCAAAAGCAAACCTGTGTTGCAGGATCCAGGCAAGCCCTAGACGTCCTAACAAGCATAGAGCCCACAAAAACGAATAGGGCTTTGAGGGTAAAGTCTACTATCAAATACTAAAACTAAACTAGAGTAATGAACACTTCAGGAACATATGAAGTTACAAAATATTGTATAAGGTCCGTCAATAGCCTCAAGCCTGCCGTTCTTTTTTGCCAGGGGCGAGCTCGAAGTCAGAGCTCACTTCGTGGGGTTCGCTCGCGCAGGCCTCGCATCAAAAGACTAAGGGACACGACCAGAACGAGGGGCACTTTGCATACACACATGCGTATGCCTGAACACACATACATGTAGGTATGTATGTATGTATGTATGTATGTATGTATGTATGTATGTATGTAGGTATGCACGTCTTCAGAGCAAGCTAGCACTCGTTGCGACAGATCCGGCCGCACAACGCAGTTGTCGACACCTTGTCGAA